CAAATGACTGGGGGATTCTAACAAATATTTTTACTGATTTGATAAATTTTAAGTAACCGGTATTAAATTAATTTCTTTTCTTGGATTGTCTGAATTATAACATTTGGATATATTTGATAACGTGGCAAAACTTTTTGAATAATATTATCTACGTTTTATGAGGAAAAGTTATTGCAGGGGGTTTGTAAATTAGTCTCACCTGAAAACATAGTATGCTCGAAAGTATGGAGACCAGGATGGTTTAGCCTTTTATATGGTCGCTGTCACCTTTCGTTTTATAGAAGTTGCTTGACCTTGGTTTTGAAACTGTGTAATATTAGCAGGAAGACCTAGAGGAACGCACCTTGTCCGGAATCCATGGTATGCATGACTCTGGCAATGATCGTGCATACTATGGACTCCGGACAAGGTGCGTTCCTCTGGGACTTCCTGCTAATGTGGCCAAGTTGCGAAACCAAGGTCAAACAGCTTCTACAAATTATGATCGGTTTGGAGTGGAATCGAGGATTTCTTTTCTCAAAATCCAGCGCTCTTCAATCCAGAGTATTCCTTATTCGGTTCCCGATGAGGCCGCACACAAAAACCTTCCGATCAACTTTTCCTTTTCAACGAAAACAGTGTCACATTTACTAAATTAGCTCAACGTCAAGGCCGGCCTTGGCACGACTCACCGAATTCGATAGAAATGTCACTATTTTGCTGAAATGGGCATGTTTTACTGGCAAACTGTAGATACTAGGCATAAAACCAAAAGAAATTCAGCATATCTTGCGACGCACGAGGATAAATGGCAGCCTATCCTTATGGGATTAATACTTGGTCAACTTCGAATTATCGGAAAGTTGAGATGACCCTTGTTCGCATGCAAGAGTAAATAAAAATTCCGAATCCTACACACTTAATATTCAAATGGGGCGTATTGCTTAGGGAGCAAATAAACTTTGGGGAGCATCTACATTTAATTAAAGTTGTTTGAGGTCCTTCTATTTATCAATGTCTTGAGATATCTCTATTGTTGTCATTTTTACCCAGAAAACCAATAATGCCCCTCTTCTTTTTTATAGTTTCCTAAGGATACTCACTTTTTGTGAGACCTGTGTTGATGTCAGGCTGAGCGTCGGCTATTACCAGACGAAAATGTGACGCATTGCCCTGAGTCCAAGAATCCACACGGTACTGGGCGATACTGAATTGCCGACTATCAGGATCGAATGCAACTGGCAGATCAAGTCTCCAGCCGATAGGCACATCTTCAGGGACCAAGGCGAATGGATTGTCAACCGAGGGGAAGCGAGGAGCATTGTCATTCTCGTCAAGCACCGCCACTCGAATGAAGTAGGCGCGTGGCAACTCCGTTTGTCGGTGCTCCACATTGACATGCAGCAGTTGGCAACAGGCGCCCGGAGGACATCGTGACTCCTCTGGTTGGCCCAGTTCAGCCTCGGACTCCCTGGCCTGGTTGCCTGTGGCCACTCGAAAGAGGCTGCTTGCGGCTGCCGATGCCGAGATGTCACTCGCCAAGAGGTGGGGTCGTGTCTCTGAGAGGTGCTGGCGTTGGCAGATGGCCTCCCTGTCGAGCGGCCGAGCAAGCATGATCTGGTAGTTGGAGACCGTGAAGGGCCAGAAGGCTTCCTGTTGGGCCGCATAGATACTTGCATTCTCGCCTGGCGCAGGGTAACCTTGGCGTACAAGAGCAGCGTCCATGTCAAGCAGAACACTGCCCAACGGGCTGTTCTCGTACATGCTCACCGTCTCGAGTAGTCGGCCAGTCAGCTCACCAGCCAGGCCGAGGAGAATTATCAGACCGGCAATCAGTAATTGGCGCTTCATTTGGAATGTGGGGCGCCCTGACTCCTTATGTATCTGTATGGAAAAAGAACTAAAAATTGGGTGTTATTTGTTATTTACCCGGCATCTGAGAGGTCATACTCAACAAAGAGAGAAGCAAACTTCAGGTCAATATAAAAAGCTAATTAATCCCTGAGTCCCCTTGTTTTATTTATTTTTGATTTGCAAACACTCACGAATACATCTCATCCGGCATACGCCCAAAAGGGCGTAGAGACATAGCTGAATAATCCATCACTATTTCTGGAAACATAAACCAAATCTTAGCTATAACATACTAATAATAATGATTAGTACTATTATGAATATGCAACAAATGACGATTTTTTTTAAACATAATCATTCGGATTGCTTTTTATAGATAAACATTTTGAGTGTTAATTCTTGCCTCCATCTAAATAAGCTAAGTTAGTGGATAGTCAGATTCATAACTTTTCAAATTTCGCAAAGCAACCAATGTGGCAAAATATAGTTGGCTTAGGATGCAAATGGCTCTTCAACTAAGTGCTTTCTTGAACTGCATTTGTGGGCGTCAATCATGCACTGTGATGCCTATTTGTGCGACTTGCTACTCGAGTTTTCAAAAAAGGTGGCAGATTGAAAAATGTCCAACTAATTATTGTATTAAATCTCCCGGTTGACATCCAAAGCAGTTGCGCCTTTTCTTTTCAAGCCCATTTACCATGGGGCCATACTGGATATGGCAGGAAATACAGGACAGGGCATGCCTTTTTGCTAATCTCCTGTTGCTCTAAATGTATAAAGGAAATGAATTTAAACATAATAGGCTGTACATCATCACGGCATTCAATTAATTTTGACCGTCAGATCCTAAATGGCATCCCTCATAACCACGGACCACACCAACAAACACATAGTAGTGTCAATCATTTAAAAGCTACGTAACGAACTGGCAATACAATACAATTGACACTTTTGGACGATAAATGCACCATACTTGCCAGAAGGCAAATAAATGTTGTATTCACGTAGAAATGAGGCAACCTTCGTAATATGAGATGTGTTCAACCTATTTCGTTTAAGGTGATGAAGGACTGGTAGTTGCATTTTCCCACAATCATATGAGTAGACCTTAAGTTTACGTGGCATTATACACAGTCCTGCTTTCCAAAAAAACTACTTTTATCCTGGGTGGACTAGTAGTCTCTAAAACCTACTCTAAACGAAAAACTTCATAAAACAATAACAGCATAAAAGTTGTTTGACCTTGTTTTCGCAACTTGGTTATAATGGTAGGAAGACTTATACAACTCGTCAAAGTTGTAATATAGTGCTACGAATGGTAAAACTCACTGACGATGCCGGCAAAACGTCTGGGAATGTACCACGTCCACGGTCCGACTGGAAATAATTATGCATACAATGGACTCAAGACAAGGTGCGTTTCTATAAGTCTTCCTACCATTATGACCAAGTTGCGAAAACAAGGTCAAACAACTTTTATACAACGAAAGGAGACTGCGACCACACAAAAGGCCACACCATCTTGGTCTTCCTATCTTCGAATAACAGCATAAGTCCATAGGCGAAAACCTATCATAGGATAAATGATTTTGATCTTTAAGTAAACATTCACCATTAGCCGCCCAGTATATTAGTTGAAGTGACAGTTTCTAATTTAGGCGAAAACTTTATTGTAGGCTCTTTTTGTTGTTTTAAAGAAAGTTTTCACCTAGGCTGGACTGCACTTTCGACTTCATCTAAGCATTTTCAGCAAGCCTAGTGAAATTCGAAAGGTGAGTGTGAGTTGTCCTCTGGATAATAAGAGACTAGTTCAGTGTGGATACAACACGGGTATGCTTCCAAAGGCAAGATAGACATGGCAAAACTACCACCTTTAATGGGTAGCTTCGTAACGAAAGGCAACCTTGGTATTTCCATTAGCTTGGAGGTCTTTGTTCAAATTTCAACCTGATTCCCGGTAGTTGGGATCAGAAGGACATTGACATCAAAAAAGGACTTAATCTAATATTACAGAGGATAAAGAGGTTGTGGTCTTTTTACTCTGTAGGACCTCTATTCGGCTCGATGTCTAAATAAAATCAAATGTATTGGACCAGTTGCTTTGTGCATGAGGCTAGCTTATTTTAAAAAAGCTAAAGGGAATGCTACGGATATCTGAGGACTAAATTATCGTTAAACTGTCCACTTTCATAGTTCCTGAATATCATAAATGCAGACCTTGTAAGCACAAAACGAGACGTCCGATAAAATGGGTGTTCATCGTATTTGAGTAGAATTTCGAGACTACCAGTATATCAGTAATATGATATGTATTCACCCAATTTCGTTTAAGATGGTGAAGGACTGGTAGAAGAAGAATTTTCCCAGAATGATAAGAGTAAAGCTGACGTTTTCATTGCATTTCACACGGCCTTGCTTTCCCAAAAGTATTTCTCATCCCGGCTTGAATGGAATGCAGTTTCGACCTCGCATCAACTGGTATTATCAACACCTTCAGTGGGAGTCGAACCGTGACAGTGCAGAATTGGAATTTGACAAGTTAACCACTCGGCCACATTGCCACGAGCGCTTTTGGGCTACAGGGCAGATGTGAAATTCAAGGAAGGCCAGGCCTTTTGCC